CACTGCTTAAAAATGGATGAAATTCACAAAACAATAACACAAAAAGGAAAGAACTCAGTCAGAGAAAATCACCAGGTGGTAATGTCACCAGATTGGTGTGGGCTGGCCACTGGGGCAGATTCACCACCTAGCTGGTGCGGCTCGTCAACTCAGCTCAGTTGCAAACAACACTACAGTCTGACTTACTGGCATTTTAATGAGTCAAAGAGCATTGAAACCTAGGAACCTTAGCACTTAGAAAGATGATATAAAATATTTTTTAGCATTGACAAGGCATTAATGTAATTATTTTATCAATAATGCCGAGTGAATGGCACATACTCTTGATGAGACATATCCAGCGCACGAATTCCCGACGACTGCGTGAGCAGCACATGGCTTGATAAATTAAAGAGCATTTCAAAAGCAGAAGCAAAGCATGCACATTCATAAAACAGAAACTTACAGTACAATGGTACATTTTATTCCTTACCAAGACGTATCATCGCTCACCGCGTCACCATCCGACGCCATTTTTGTGTCAACTGGCTTATTGACAACTTCCAATAACAACAGCTGATACTTGTAAATGACGTAGAAGAAATTAATGCAAACGCCGTTTTTCTGAAAATATTTACGTATGAATTGAAAAAGTGTGCATGTGTTCTTTTTGAAACAACTGATTCAATAATTATTTACTTGTTTTTACATTTTAAATTGAATCCATTATTTACAGGAAATTTGTGAATTCAGGCATTGATGACGTCATTAGCCTATTTCAAAACTTTACAGGCAATGCAAAATATAAAGCCTTGTACAAAATGATGTGGCCTTTAGAGTGGCAAGTTTTTAGCTCCACACGAACACGAATATTCTCCAATATCTTTGCAAACGCAACCTCATAGGATAAGGAATCCCAGGCCAATGTGGCGAAACCTTTTCGTTTGTGCCTTTTGTGTAGAGTGATTGAATGCCCACCCGAGCTTATTGCACACGTGTCAGCGCTGCTTTTTTTTGGGGGGGAGGGGGCGTCCAGGGTGCTACCGTAAACCGTCAGTCACATCGTCTTCTGACCGACAGGATCCTTCATCCATGGACAGGACATTGCTTAGGCCGTATTTAGAGTATTCCGGACGGCAAAGACTCTACGTGATGATATGAAGAATCTGCCATCCAAGGTCGAAGTACCATCTCATGTCGCAGGTCGGCGATTCTACGTGACGCAGCGTAGAATCGTTGCGTAGGATCATTCATCTTCAACGTGTTTCCTTTTCCGTTACATCCAGCAAAATAACAAAACATATTGGTATTTAAAAGTGCAAACTGCAAACCGACAGGCAGAGCAAGCTAATGACGCCAACAAGCGCTCTCCTGTCTTCTGGACTCAAAACAAGCCTCATTCCCTAATCGACAGAGTTCGCTGATAAAGTCACCGGAGAGTCGCCGTGCAAGAACAATTTCCATCAGACTTGCAACTACGCGTAATGCATACATCTGTGCACGAAAAAGGTCTGCGGGCCTGTAAATTTGACGAGACAACTAGAAATCAGACAAACAACAGTCCGATACGACACACAAAAGTGCATTGAATCGTCGCCAGTACAAAACCTAGCAGCCACACTATGACACTCGCCGAGTCTCGACCGATCATTGGTGATCACTTGGATCATTCGTGATCGACCCCACTCAGACACAACAGAACAACTTAAAGGCAATCGAGAGCCACATAATGACGGAAAAAGTCATATCCTCCGTCCTGGTGAGCCGATAGACACTGCAAATTACCCGTGGGTAGCGACATATTGTTCACAAGGCGACCTTCGAGTGGGTCACCGTTTTGGTTTAGTCATTACAGTACGTCATTTTTCTTGACTCGTGAATACAACGTACATCACATACCATCAAAATGACAGACCCTCGGGCTGTTAAACTACGTCGCTGTGGACCCCGGTTTTGATTGACCTTCTGACGCCGAGCCGGACTGTGTTGCATCACTTGATTGGCTCTGAGCATCGGCCGGAGCCTGTGCCGCCGCGTCTGATTGGTCGCCTCCGGGCGCCTCGAGCTGCGATTGGCTCTCGGCGGCGGCCAGCATGTCGTCCGGCGGAGGCTGTAGCACGTCCACGCCTCGGATCTCCAGGCCAGGTATGGCGTCCTCCAGCAGGAGACAGATGTACGGCAGGATTCGGATGTGATCCATGCGCTCCAGCGTCAGAGTCTTCAGCTCCCTGCACCGAGAGAGCCGGGACAAGGTGAGTGCTCAGCAGCGCGCAGAGTGAATCGAAGGACAGATCATTGTGGTAAGAGGGCAAGTGCATTATTTCTAACGGGCCAGTCGACCGGTACAGTCGTATAAAGAGGAGAGTAATCAACCTCAGGCAAATAACGATGATCTGGTTACTCGATAGGGAGGAACATTACTACGCGCTACGTCACAGTTGATAAGCGCGTACATAATGCAAAAACAAAGCAATTCGTCGCAAAACCCTAAGACTAATTCTAATTGCTGTATAACATGTGTAAAACATGTGTTCATGTACAATCAATGCATATGCTGGACAATAGTCAAAATAATTTTGATTAGTATTGTCCAATGACACGAATACGACTCATATTCACTCCACGTAGCGGTGCCGACACTCACATAACTCGCCCCGCCTCTCCCGTCTAGCCCGCCCCCGCCGACTCACTTGAGCTGCGCCACGCCCTCGAGGCCGGTCTCTGTGACGCGCCGGCACCCGCTCAGGTCCAGGTGCTGCAGCGTGTGCCGGTACTCGCCACAGACGCGGTCCACGCACCAGTCGTCCACAAAGGGACAGTCGCGCAGGTACAGCGCGCGCAGCTTCGATAGACGAACTGTGAGCGCAGTGCGGGAGGGTCAGAGAGAGCATGTATTTCAGATAGGACGTCTGAAGGGTGTCAATGACAACACACAGGACTAAAATTGCCTTTAAATCCAAGGGCGAATCCAGTTGGGATACGGAGGTTGGTCAAATAACATGGCTGTTGCGCTTTATGACGATGCGTCACCACGATTTGCGAGTTCCTGGTAAACGTTTTTTTCATACAAATAATACCTAAATCATCGCATTTTACACTACACTCTGACTCATCTAAACGTCATTTAGTCTCCAAATTCTCCAAATGTCCCACCCACTGAGGAGCTTCAGAACCCAATATTTAACAACGCAACCCATCGACCAATTCAGCGTCGACTCACTGAAGTTCTCTAGTCCCTCGTAGACGATCTCTGTGCCACTGGCGTCCAGCTCTTCCACATACATGCCGTGAGTGTATCTGCCCGGCAGGGGCACGCTGCCCTCGGGGCTGCGGGTCACCCAGCGCGGGTCTCCCTGGCGGAGGAAGGGAAAAGGTAACGGGGCAACATAGATAAAAGCGAGCATTGCTGGAACCAAACTGGAACGTTCAAATAGCGCTCGTGACAGTGAATACCCCTTGCAAAATGCAAGGGAGCATGAAGCCGGATATCGACATTCACGATCGACATTCACAAGACTGCATTGAAAACGACAGTTTCAATCTTACACAACCGGATGAAAGCCACCAACAGATCAATAATCAATTAGACCGTCTTAGAACTGTTTCTATTAACTGGTAAGATATTCACTGTCAGTGACCTCACCTGGAGTCTCACCCTGCCGCCTCGGGCGATGATAAAGTGGGCAGCCGCCAGGTCAAAGCCCAGGATCTGATGGCGTTCCTCGATGAACCTGGGCGGGGAAAATGCCATTCAGAGTCAATGCTTGTAAAAGTAAGTCAATAGTTTTTATGTCGCAAAGGTGGAAAAAGTAAAACGACAAAAGGAGCAATGCCTGACTTAAAATTCTCATAACACGATCCGATGCTTCAAGAGCAATTACATTATAAGTGCAATTTAACTATGATGGTAAACATTGTTCGCCTTAGTTCGATTCAAAGCTTGTAAACAAACATTACCATGCGCGAACTGCAGCATCCTTCGGCAGGCAGCTGACAGCTCACCTCTGTTGGAGGACCCTGTTCTCTTTAACCTTGTCTTCCAGAAACTCCACGACAGCCTCCTTGCTGAATTTCATAGTGTTGAACCGCTGCAGCAGCTCCACCGTGGACGCCTGCTTGGGCTTCAGCAGCTCGAAGACGCTGTAGAACTCGAGGCTGTGTCGCTTCTCCTCCTCATCCATGATCCTGCCGTGAAGCCGGAGGGGTGGTTAACGTAGCCGATCACGTGAGTTAGGGCCTGGGGGCACCGTGGTGAATTCGGTCCTAGCAGAACGATGCATTATGCTATGATCTGTAGACGAGACACTGGACAAAACAGGGCTCGAAGAAAAGCAGGCTGAATGAAGACGTTATCTGCGTTCGACGGTAACAGCTATTTCGAATAATACATGCGTACTCCCCTTCCTCTCTTCATCGTTCTTCTTCTGACACAAACCAATTTCCCCTTCAACGCACACCCTTTTTATGTCCAACACACAAACCCTCTTCACCTCTACCTTTTCCCTAACGCCTCTAACGCACCTTCGCTCTCGCTGTGAAGGGCTCTCATTGTCGTGGTTGGCTCCTGAGGCCAGCTGACGGCGTAGAACGGTCAGGTGACGCCTCAGGTGGCGACCGGAGCGGCATCGGAGACCAAGCATCACGACCTGGGGTCAGAACTGGTCAGCTGGGTCAGGGAGAGGCCAACTGAGCGGCACAGGTGACAATCATCGCGATCTGGGACCAGTAGAGATTAGTGAAGTCGGGAGGCATCTACTTACGATCAACTACACAGAGGTCTATGTCGACCAATATTTAAACAAATCGTTGTCGCTAGCTATTTTGACAAAGGCAAGTTTGCCGATTTAGTTCGCACAATATCGAACTAAGCCATCCAAAGCCAAGATGGCTGGCGTGTAAATGCAACTGGTTACTTGTCTAGTTGATAGTTTTCACCATTGTCGTCACAAAAATATAGGCATCGTTAGAAGGCGCTTGTTTGTCGGGGCGGACTGTGCAACATTCAAATACCCAAACCACGGTTATAAGCCAGAGTTAGGTAAAGTACCTAGTTTATTTGAAACCAGACACCAAGCATACACAACAACAGTCAACAGCCAGTTACAAATTACGTTCAAGAGATACAAAACATACGAAGTCACAACTTGCGATGCTGACTGAAAGTCAGCTAGAATTACACAACTGATTGATTTTCAGAGTTATCGAGGCTTTCAATGAAGATAGTCAATAAATTTAGTTTTACGCTATCGTCTGGCTATTGGGTCAATTTTACACACCGTTTTGAAATCATTCGATAATCGCCCACAATAGCATCAGCAAAAGCGCTGAACGGTCCGTACGATTATCACAAGGCCTTTCAATTATGCGGAGATGAAAGAACACACGAGCACGAAATCAAAGGCTTGGACAGAAAAAAAACACCACAGACACTACGAGCTACTTCCATTGAAGACCCCAGCCCAGCAGAGTCTCTCTCACTTCACCACTCCGCATCACTCGCTAAGATGCAGGTCTTTCCCGACCGTGTAAATGGCCACGTGCATCATATTCGGCTTATTCCTCTCAAACGTCGCGATCGCCTTCGGTCGAGCCTCCTCCCAGGCGTACAAGTCACGGTAGATCGGTCTGACGAACTTCATCCTGCCCTGAGCGGTCACGAACTCTAGTGACGGCTGCAGCTGCCTCTCCCACCGGGCAGCCAGACCGAGACGTAACCAGCGGAATCGGATCTCACTGTTGGCACGCGCGTCCAGATCATACAGCTCCTGCATCTTCTCCAGCTTCTTCACCGGCAGCGGCGGCGCTTCCAGGAGCTGAGCCAGCAGCTCGATCACCTGACCTGAGGTCAGCGGGGTCAGGTCGTCGGCCGAGAACGGGCACAGCTCGTCAGTGTTCCAGGCCAACCAGCGGGCAGACAGATCCGAGCACACGCCCGCCAGTTGAGAGTCGAACTGCGGCTCCACTGGCGGCATGCCTGGCGTGTGCAGCCACGCCTCCCAGTCCACCTTGTCGAATAGACCAGGCGTCGGAGCAAAGTACTCTTCCAGAAACTTGCGGAAGTCGGCGCTGTCGATTGATTTCAGTCGGAATTTCTCCACGTACGCACGCAGGAACGGATCGAAGACCGTCGGTCCGCCAGCCAGCTGCTCCAGATACCAGAGGAACGCGTGACCTTTCTCGTAGGGAACCGTCGAGAAGGCATCATCGGGGTCCACGTCAGCCAGCTTTGGCGACAGGCAGGTGAGGGGATCATCGGCACCACGCGTACGAATCGTCTCACGGAGGCTCTTCCATCCTCCAGCTGCCGAGAAGTGCCTGGCAGGCTCACCGTGCAGCCGCGACAGGATCTTACGCTCCAGAAACATGGTGAATCCCTCGTTGAGCCAGAAATGCTCCCAGCTGCGGTTGGTGACCAGGTTGCCGGTCCAGCTGTGAGAGATCTCGTGTGCCACCACGTCCACTAGCGAGCGGTCCCCGGCGATCACCGTCGGCGTGATGAACGTCAGACACGGGTTCTCCGTGCCACCGAACGGGAAACTCGGCGGCAGCACGAGTAGGTCGTACACGCCCCAGATGTACGGACCGCAGAATGCCTCGGCGGCCTCCAGCATCTTCTCTGTGTCGACAAACTCGTGAGCTGCGCGGTCGACTACACCGGGCTCGGACCAGACCGAGCAGCGCGGTCCGAGTGGGCGCGACTCGAGATCGCCCACAGCCAGAGCGATCAGGTAAGCCGGCACGGGCACTGGCTGGCGGAACCGGCACCGCGCTGCGCCGTCGGCCTCCTCGCGGCCCTCGCGGAGGCCGGACATGAGTGCCGTCAGCTCGGCCGGCACTGTCAGCTCGGCCGTGTACGGCGTCTTCACGGCCGGCGTGTCCTGCAGCGGCGCCATAGAGCGGCAGTGGATGGCCTCGCAGTGCGAGTACACGTACGGCCGCCGCCGGCCGGCCGTCTGCTCTGGCTCCAGCCAGGCCAGCGCGGTCGACTCGGGCCGCGTGCTGTACTCGACGGCCACAGTCAGCGGCTGGCCGTCCTCCGGCGGCAGGGTGACACGCAGCGGCGTGCCGTACGCCGTGTGCTCGTGCTCCGACTCCAGCTTCCACTGGAGCGGCGCGCCGTCCTCCAGTCGGCATACTCCAGTCACCTCCAGCCCGCGGGTGTCCAGCAGCAGGACGGCAGCCGCCGGAGCGCGCCGCTCCACCCGCAGCTCCGCGGCGCCACGCAGCCGGCGCGCCTCAAAGTCCACCGTCAGACGCAGGTGGACCGAGGTGACGGCCGCCTCGTGCGGGTTGGAGAACGAGCACGGGTCGTCCGGGCACGTGGCGGCCATGGCGGCGACGCTGAAACGACGCGCGAACGCTGCTGAAACTTGCCACACCGCTGAAAACGGCGGCTGATTACTTCTGTGGAGGAACGTGTGGCAAACCAGAAGATGACAGCTTTTGCACTTTTTTCTTAATTGCTTTTTATAGGAAATAGGTAGTAGGTAACAAATATACAGTCCTATGAAACAGTTTTGCATTGATATTTCCAAGCGTTACACATAAAACAATGCGAGCATACTTAACTAGGTGCGTTATTCAGCTCTTATAAATCACCATTCACCAGCCAATATAACTAGCCCATCATAGCAAGGTCTAGCAACAAATATCAGGGTGTTATGGGCTGGCTGATGTATATACAAACAGTAAGTAATCTTTTGGCAGATATAACTTAGCTGTACTTGCTAGCATCAGGGGCTCAAGTCTCAGGTTTTTTTTTCTACATTTTTTGGCATGTCATTTAATTGAAATAAAACATCAATCAAGCAAGTTGCATTTAAAGCAATAAAATACCCTAGTTGAATTCTGGCTATTGATGACTACACAATAAGAGTCATATGTGTTAGGGTTCTGTCCCAGCCCCGTCTTGTCCCGTCTTTCCACTTCGTAGTTAGAAAACACAACGTTTCAATTATCTTGCATTTTCCATACGACTTCTGGCACAGATACAAAAATCGTTCGGCACACAGCCCCTTCCAAACACCACACACAGCGTCCAACCAAGAACTCCTCTCGGCCCGCCAGAAAACACCATTCCAGCCCCGACACGGGATTGGCCCAGAATCGACCACGCAACAAGTCTTGGCCAATCCCACCGCTACTACCATCCGATAGAAGAGATGGGCGCGGACAGTGGCGACGATTGAGTACCAAGTAGGCATAGGGATGGGAAAATAAACAATCTCTTCCTCCATCGACGTGAATGACGCAGCTCTAACGAATAACGGCGCAAATGGCTGCCAACCCGCTACCAAATCCAGTTTCCTCTATCGCTTACCCTCACATCCCCCTTCCCTTAAATTCACTAGGACGCGTCATACGTGAATCTATATGCCTAGTGACATCAACTCACTTCGCTGGTTTTGCTACACCAAACCAGTCGCACGAATCGGAGTATGGCAGCATTCGTACAGTGCACACAAATCAAACAAACATCCGACAGTAACATCGTTCTAACTTAACTCTTAACTTTAGGTCACACGTCCCACTACTGGTGCGTCATGTACCGGATGCTACCGACAGCATCTTCCATGTCTCAATCACACAATAGTTGACGAGTATCATCACACCATACCACTGGAATGTCAGTCGAGAAAACGACGAGGGCGACGCACCTCGCGTCCACATCTCGTTCTCACCACTGTCTCGGCTGCCCTGACCTCTAGGTCACCGGGCCCGGGTGACGCCCCCACCAACCGCGAAGGTGGCGCCACGGTCGCCTGCCCAGGTGCCGCCACTGACAAACGTTCACCGTCCTCACACGTCTGTGGGCGCTGCTCACCTGTCTCAGCACCTGTCGTCTCCAGCGTCCGCTCGTTAGCCACTGTCGTCCCCACCGGCCGTCCATCGGCCGTCACCACCATCGGTCGTCCATCGGCCGCGATCAACTCCATCGGTCGTTCACCAGTGCTTGCCTCGTCCATCGGCTGCTCTCCGGTAGCCGACTCCTCCAGAAGCTGCTCTCCAGCAGCCGTCTCCTCCAGCTGCCGCCTGCCAGCAGTCACCTCGGCCAGCTGTCGCTCGTCAGCAGCTGTCCCCGCCAGCAGCCGCCCGCCAGCAGCCGCCTCCGCCGGCCGTCGCTCGTCAGCAGCCGTCTCATCCAGCTGCCGCTCGTCGGTAACAGCTTCCGCCTGCTGCCGCCCGTCAGTAGCCGGCCATGGCCGTTCTCCGGCCACTGTTGTCGCCTCTGCCCACGGCAGGCCGCCTGCCGTCGCCACCAGCTCGAACTGCCTGCTATCAGCACCGACCGCCTGTGGTCGCCCGCCGACTGTGCTGGTCTCCGGCTCCGTTTCACTTTCAGATTCCACAGCCACTTCCCGGCTGTCCCAGGTATCAGCTCTCTTGAGATGCGCTCCATGGATCCACCTCCGTCGTCTTCCTTTTCTGAGTAGATAGTCCGGTGGTCTGCATTTGATGATTGAGTACGGTCCCTCGAACTTTGGCTGCAGTTTGCCCTTGACACCTCTCTCGGCACGGAAGTTTCGGCACCACACTGTGTCTCCCAGCTTGAATGCTCCGGTGGATTGCGCGTCAGTCCTGCGGCTCTGCTCCTGCTGCACGCGCTCAGACACCAGCTGGTGGATGTCCGTCAGCCGACCCCGTAGACTCTCCACGTAGCGCTGGTAGGTGCGCTGCTTCAGCTGCTCTCCGTCCAACTCTGCCCTGAGCACGGTTCGAGGCGAGAAGCCGTGCACCAGTTCAAACGGAGTGAAGCCTGTGACAGAGTGGGTACTGGTGTTATACGCGGCTGCTACTAAGGGAAGTAGTCCAGGCCAGTCTTCCTCAGCTGTGAAATGAGACAGCATTTCACACAGAGTCCTGTTGAATCGTTCAGTGACGCCATTGCAGCATGGTCTGTACACAGTGGTCCTCAACTTCTTGATTTTGAGCCGCTCACACAGACCTCGTACCAGTCCACTCTCAAAATTCCGTCCTTGATCCGTCAGCAGCGACTTCATTACTCCATACCTGCTGATCACCTTCATGAGACAATCTGCTACATCTTCGGCTGTCTGCGTTCGCAGTGCAAACAGCTCCACCATCTTGCTAAACAGGTCCGTCACCACCAAAACGTATCGGTAGCCCTGTTCGGTCCGAGGCAGCTCCATGATATCAGCAGCCCATTGCTGAAACGGTTGACCCTCCACAGGTACCGCTCCTCTTCCTTCCTGGCACGCTGTCGTCTTGGACTTGTGGGCCAAACAGGATGGACATGAACGGCACATCTGCCTCACGTCCAGTCGCATGTTGTGCCAGAAGTAGTCCTCTGTCAGTCGGTGAATCGTCCTGCGCACACCTCCATGTCCTGCCATAGGAACATCATGTGCCAACTCCAGCAGCTTCGTGCGCAGACTCAGGGGTACAAGTACCTGCGGCTTCTGATGGCCCTTTGACTCTCTCAGAATGATGCCGTTCTTCAGGCTGAGTCCTCCGAGCATGCTGTAGAACTTCAACTCCTTGACTTCACTGTCAGTCAGGTCCTCTAACTTCAGCTCTTTCCCTTGTAGATGCAGACTGAGTCTTCTCAGTACTGGATCCCTTGCTGTTGCCTCTCTGAACTCAGCCTCACCCTGAGTTGATGCTGACACACTGCCGACAACAACAGCTTCAACTGTTGCTTCATCAGCCACTTCTTCTCCATCCTCATCGTGACCTTCTGAGTCCACCACACGTCTCAGATATAGTCGGTGTAGTCCCTCGCTCTGTGGTACGAACTCCGCTGCGTTCACATTCAGCTGGCTCTCCTTGTCTGCTTCAGTAGGCTCGTCTTGTCTGGATAGAGCATCCACATGAGGAATGGAGCTCCCTCGTACATGCTCCACGGTGAAGTCGTATTCCTGCAGCTTCTCAAACCACCGGTACAGTCGACCGGACGGTGGCTTGGACTTCTGCAGAAACTGGATTGCCTCATGATCCGTCCTTATCTTGAAGGGCTTGCCGATCAAGTAGTGTCGATACTTCTTGACCGACTTGATGACAGCAGCCAGCTCTCTTTCGGTTGCCGACCAATTCTTTTCAGCCGGTGTCCATTTGCCTGAGGCGTAGGCAATGACGCCCTTTTCCTGGCTCAGCACAGCTCCCCATCCAGTGCCACTCCCATCAGTCGTCAGCGTGAATTTCTCCATCACATCCGGGAACTTCAGAAGCGGATACTCCTCCAGATCCTTCTTCAGCAGTTGGAAGTGTGCCTCGCACTCCTCAGTCCACTTGAAGGTCACCCCTTTCTTCAGCAGGTCCGACATCACAGCTGTCTTGCTTCCGAAGTTTGGAATATACTGCTGGTAATAGCCAACAAAGCCCAGAAATCGCCGCAGCTCCTTGACTGACCGTGGCGATGACCACTTGCGGAGAGCTTCCACTTTCTCTTCAGCTGGTCTGATGCCTTCGGTGCTCAGATGATGCCCGAGGAAGTCCACTTCAGTTACGGCCACTTTACACTTGGTTGGGTTCAGCAGCAGCCCTCCATCTCGGAACTTCTGAAGTAGCTCCTTCAAATCTCGCAGGTGTTCCTCAGTCGTCTTCGAGAAGAGGATGACGTCATCCAGGTAGATCATCACTTGTTTCCAGGTCATTCCTTTGAGTAGGTCTTCCATGATTCGCTGGAAAGTTGCTGGACTTGTCTTCAGGCCAAACGGTTGTCTGGTCCATTGATGAAGACCGAACTCTGTGGTGAAGGCGGTGACTTCCCGTGACTTCTCTTCCACTGGGACCGCCCAGTATGCTGCTCGCTGGTCTAACACCGTGAAGATGGTTGACCCCTGTGTCGCCTCCAGCATGTCCTCGATTCGTGGTAGCGGGTACGAGTCATGTTTGATTACCTGATTAACTGCACGGTAATCACAACACAACCTCATGCCTCCATCCTTCTTCTTGACGATCACTACTGGTGAAGCCCAGGGCGACGATGATGGTTCCACGAGGCCCTGCTCCTCCAGCTGATCCAACTGCTCCTTCAGCTGCTTCCTCAGGTGCAGTGGAGTGCGGTAGGCCCTCTGCTTGATTGGCCTGGCTCCTCCTGTGTCGATCACCAGCTGATGGGGTCCGTTGTACTCTCCTACCTCCTCTGGGCTCTTCGAGAACACATCCTCGTAGCTCTGCAGCAGCTCCTGGAACTGGGAACGAGCCGGCTCAGCAAGGGGTGACACATCAGGCAGACCCTCTGTCTTCTGCATGTGGCACAGCTCCGTATCCATCAGCTCATCCTGCCCCAGGACTGTCCCAGCTGGGATCACGACTTCATCATCACTCATGTTCAGCAGTCGAATCGGGATCGCTTGGTGGGCCAGACGTACCGAGGGTGCCATGACTACTCCATCCACCTCGGCTGGGTAGAACACTCTCGGCTCAGCAACTGTCACCCTGCGGATACTCATGACAGTCTCTGCCCAGGGGGCACATGTGACTGCACACCTAGCCCTCACAGTCGACCACCTCGGGATACTCCTGCCCTCAACTGTTAGTTGTCCTGTCCCACAATCGATAGTGGCCTTCAGCTGTTGCAGGACATCCATACCAATCAGCACACAGTCAGTGAGGTCTGCTACAACAAAGCTGTGGGGAAGGGTGGTGTCACCAACCTGCAGCATCACAGAACATCGTCCCATTGTCGTTACTCTGGTGCCGTTTGCTGCGACGAAGTGCTCGGACTCAGATGATGTCGCCTCCCGCTCCAGTTCCAGGTCATCAGCCACCTCCTTGCTGATGATGCTGGTCACACTCCCAGTGTCCACCACCGCCTGTACCTCCGTCCCATTCAGACAGATGACTGCCTTGACCTCCGCTGGCTGATCGGAGCAAACACGCCGCACAGTTCCTGATGCCTCCTGTGCTTGTCCCCCTCCTGGTCTGGATCCGCTTGCTTCCGCCCTCTGTGCCCCCGGCTGGGAGGGACACTGTCGCTGAACGTGGCCCCGGCCTCCACACCTGAAGCATGTCTGTGTGACATCCCGGCTTGATCCAGATCGACAGGCAGCTGCAAGATGTCCTCGTCGACCACAGCTGAAGCAGGTCGGGGCAGGATCCCGGCTTGATCCTGTCCGACAAGCAGCTGCCAGGTGTCCCTGACGACCACACTTGAAGCATGTTCGTCGGTGGTCTGGTGCACCCCTGGCTGAAACAGTTCTTACTTCCTTTGGCCTGTTGGTGTCAGTTAACTCGTTTTGAAGTTCTTCGGTTGTTTTTATTCTTTCAAGTCGCCTCACCAATGCTTCTGTATTAGTAGCTTCGCTGTCTAGTACCCTCAGACGCCACTGACTGGGTACAGCACGGGTAATCTGTTCAGCCACCAACTGCTCTTGGGCCTCCACACTCAGCTCTGGCATAGCAGCTCTTGCCAGTGTTTGCAGTCTTCCTACAAAGGCCCGAGGCTCATCTGAGGCAGCCATCTTTAGCTCATAGAACCTATGTAGAAAGGCTCGTCGTTTCTCGGCCGGTACCAGTCGCTTCATCACATGGTCCTTCGCCTCCTCCATGCTGGTGAGGGTGACGTCCTCTTCCAACTCTCTGGCCAGCCACTCATGGGCCTCCCCGAAGAGTGCCGGCAAGATGGCTCTCTGTTGACTGTCGGACCACCCGTTGGCCCTGGCCACTCTTGTAAATCCCCTCATGAATGTCTCAGGGTCTTCTCCCTCCTTATAACCACGGGGCTTGAAGACCGAACCGGATGGCTCCATTTCACTGGTCTGGCTATTTACGTTAAGATCAGATTGCAAAGTTACTGGTTTATTTTCCAAATCCTCAATATTCACTACCTGAACTTCCTCTTTTATCTTGCTCTTGATTTCACTCATGCGCCAGGATTGCCTCGCTCCGTTGAGTCAAATCCCACTTCTGTTGTTAGGGTTCTGTCCCAGCCCCGTCTTGTCCCGTCTTTCCACTTCGTAGTTAGAAAACACAACGTTTCAATTATCTTGCATTTTCCATACGACTTCTGGCACAGATACAAAAATCGTTCGGCACACAGCCCCTTCCAAACACCACACACAGCGTCCAACCAAGAACTCCTCTCGGCCCGCCAGAAAACACCATTCCAGCCCCGACACGGGATTGGCCCAGAATCGACCACGCAACAAGTCTTGGCCAATCCCACCGCTACTACCATCCGATAGAAGAGATGGGCGCGGACAGTGGCGACGATTGAGTACCAAGTAGGCATAGGGATGGGAAAATAAACAATCTCTTCCTCCATCGACGTGAATGACGCAGCTCTAACGAATAACGGCGCAAATGGCTGCCAACCCGCTACCAAATCCAGTTTCCTCTATCGCTTACCCTCACATATGCATGTCCATTATCTGTAAAAGTCATAGTAAATCTTGCAAAATACCTTTTGGTGTGCTTGTAAGTTGCATACCTATCATCATTTATCATTGTGTGTGCTTCACATATAACTAACTGCTAACTTCTAACAATTACCACTAACTTTACGAAGACACTAATTTATCTAATTTACAAAGTTACATCTCATAGACTCATAGGTAAAATGGAATGTAGGTAAATGTGTATTTCCACCTTAATCAGTCAACAATCTTGCTTACCCTTACAAATAGCAAAGCAAGAACAACCAGCACAACTTTAGAATAGCATGTCATGCAGGTTCTGATCTTGATCATCATTAGGAGTTGCTGCAGGCTGATATTGAGTGGATATTTTAGAGCACAATTGAAGTTGGCCGACATAATTTTAGACTATCTGTCCCACATCTGACATCCTCATTTGAAAAGGCTATGACTACTCTCACCAACCTTACAATTTGCCTGTCATGACTCAGGCCATCACAATCACTGTCAACTGTGAGGTGTCAGCGATGACCAATCAGTCGAAAGCTGGGAATGTCTGTACCTATTTTCCTCCTTGCAAGAAGTCCAAAACTAATTGTTACCTCAAAATGAAAAATAAAGAAAACTACAAATTTAATTTGAAAAAAATACAGTTAATTTTTAGCTACAGCCTGCACATATGAAAGCTGAAGTGAAATCCAAGAAGTGTTTTATTTAAGAGTTCCAGCAATAACTAAAGCTGTGTCAAACTAGAGCAGTAAACATCACAGGTGTTCAATAGATATGGAAAATTGAAAAGTGGTGTTTGATGCAGATTGCAGGGACAGTTTTTCCCAAAGTTTATACAAAGCTCCTCAGCCTTTGCTTCCTACAACCACAACTCACAGTGCTGTCCTATGAAAGGACGCCGGTGAAAACAGGGCGCCGGAGGGCATATTGGGTCACATGACATTCGGAAATCCTCACTCCCCCCGTGGGCCTTCTACATCTTACTTACTTACTTAAGATGCACGGAAAATTTTGGGAGGCCCAAGGCCTGTAGTGGCCTGTATTTCATGCTAAATGTCATGTGTGAATTTCACAAGCCTTGATCAAATCGCCCCAGGCACCCTGTTTTCACCGTCATCCCTATGAAATAATGAAAGCCAAAGCTGTTAGGCTTATCTGTTACACTCTTGGTCCAGTAAAATTATGTTGTGAAGAAAAGAACAAAATTTTGTCATCCCCACTGTTGAGAACAGGGGTCGAATTGATATCCAAATTCCAAATTATGACGTGTGTGAAGTCAATAAGGCAAAAGAAAGCGTCAATAATGCAAAAGAAAACTCACAATGCGCAAGCAGACTGGGCGAAGACCACAGCGGAGATCGTTCCAGCGCACGCTTCAGAAAAGCAGAAAGAGACTGAATAATCTTCAATCGCTTCTCAATCAAATCATTTGCAATTGAGAGTTGAGAACTTTGTCAATTCGCAAATCGCACGAAATTCAGTAAGTAGCGAAGATGGGGCAAGCGATACGAAATACAACGCATTGTAGCGGTGATTTATGTTCAGGGCTGGAGGCAGCCGACTCGTTGCTAGGCAACTTGCTGCTAAATTAGCAAAAAATTCCTCTATTAGCAGGTTGCCATAGAAAGTTGAAGCCGACCTCCGGCCATCAATTATGAATGAACAGTCGCTTTTGACCTTTCGCAAGGTATATAAAAACACTAGGTAACACCGAAAAATTCCTTCAACATGAAGGCAACGGGTTCAGGTCTTGACAACTAGTGCTAGCATGATTTGCAAGATACTTGCTACGTAACTACTTTACAGATTTTCCTAATACTTTGCTATTACTTATGTTTCGCGATTTAATAAAGACATATTTTTAGTTATCCTCATTAAAATTCGTTCTTGCCAAGAAATTTGTAATTTCACGGTATGACATCATGCCTTCAGGAAGCCTCGGATATCTCAGTATCTAGGCAGTGAACCTACTTAATTCTGATGTTTTTAGAAATGAAATTGATTTTTGCATTCTCTTGATATGAACTTTTTGGAAAACAACAGAAAAACATTAAATTATCGCTTTTCAAAGTGCCATTTTGTGCTTGATAAGAAGTGATGGCCCTTAGACAGAGCGTTCCTATAAAAAATCTAGAGTGAGCTGGCCTCTATAAAAATTAAAATTAGCACTAGTATTTAATTGTCTGTTAGATGTTAATTTTCATTAAGCTTAAGGTTCTACGGAAAAAGGCGAAATTCGCCCCTAAAGGCTTCAATGTCTGAATGAAAAAAGGCACTATGGTAAAGAGGTAGTTGAAAAATGGGAGGGAGCTGGCCTCTACAAGTTGTTGATTGAGATAGATTAGCGTATTGACTTTCGATTGATATACCTCATTAAGCATATGGTTTTACGAAAAATGGCTAAATTTGTCGAAAACTATCTCGTTTTTGTTATAAACCGTATATTAGAAATGGCGACGTGCGCCACTTCCGTCGCCGACGCCATTTGGACGCCATGTTGCCCGAGATTTGAGCGCTTGTACGCCTTGGCTTCTAAATTTCAAGATGAATATTGAAGGCAGAAGACGGCGTTGTGCATATGGGGGGCACGCACTGATTTCAAGTGAGTCGGAAGTGCCAAAATTGAACAAGATTGGTTCCAAGTACGTTTCGAAGTCCGTCATTCAGGCCCTGGGAATGGGTGACCCTGGCAAGCTTGCTGGACGATACCTGTGTCATAAGTGTATTTCCTATGGCAGGTCGCAGATGAAAATTGTTCAGGTGAGATTACTTGACTGATGTGTTGGCTCATAGCTGGGCTCTCCATTGATGTTTGCAGTGTGAATTTACTCTTGTGCTGTGCAGATTCACAGGAATTTGTATCAGTCTGGGAGGTTTGGTCAATCAGTCATTTTTATCATATGCTATTTTTGTCACATGTGCTAAAAATGACAACGATTCTGCTATTTTTGGGAGCGATCCAGTCTGCAAAACGTGGCAGGGTTCGACAAGATCTGGTTGGGGCAGACACATGCTGCGTTCGGATGGGCGGTTTCGTTTTTTCATCGGGGATCAGGTACTCTCTTTGCAGACGTCACCCGAGCTGCCATATCTATGTCTCACTTGCGCAACAATTGTCTTTTCATGGTTAAATATATAACAAAACATATCTAACCTGACCTTACCTTACCTACAACCTACAACCTAACCTACCAACCTACAACCTAACCTACCAACCTACAACCTACCAACCTACCTAACTGGATATGGCAGCTCGGGTGATGTCTGCTAAGAGAATCCCAGGGAATATTCCTCAGACCGTTTGGGCAGGCTTCTACGGAGAGTGCGCAAAAACTGTAGCCACTAGGTATATCTCACTCTGCATTATATCTCACTCTGCATCACGCAAAGCCCTTTGTCCTGGTATTGTATCTAGCCTTGAAATTTATTTTAATTTGATTGTTTTAATACGTCTCGCCCGAATGTGTAGCTTACTACATATCTGGGTTGTGTATATAAGTACTTTGACGGCATTTTTTCTATCCTTAAACAATAAACATTCATGGTTTACTCGTAATGAAGACATTGGTCTTTTTTATATATATTAAGTGTTACCCACTCACACTCACCTCTTTTGTGTTATAATAGACTTTAATTACCTCACTCTGATAAACTATGTTTTGTTTCACTTCTTTGATTTCACTGGGTGACCCGGTAATGGTAAAAAACAATAAATATTAGACCTGTTGTCACAGTGGTTAAGTTATACCCCGCACCTTTAATGCCCACCTAATCGACTTTTTTTTTAGGTATTTTACCAACCACTGTTTCTATTTCAGTTGAGAGGCATGGGTGCGGCGAACACCAACCCCACGGCAGTGGAGGCCAAGAACCGCCTCCGCCTGCTCCTCATAGGAGCTGCGCCGACAGTGGCCGCCGCAACCCACGATGACCCGCGCGAGTCCGGGGCCTCAGTACTGCTGGAGGAGAAGGAGCCGACTTACCTGAGCGCCACGACGCTGGACCTGGACCACGAGCCGCCAGTGGAGCCAGAGGTGCCGGACGCGGACGTCACCGCGGTGGAGAACCTGGTGACCGCCCGCCAGCCGTGTCCGGGACCCGCAGCCAGCGCCGGCGCCGCCCCGCCACCTGCAAGCCTTCCCTCTGGAGCAACCGGTGTCGCCAGTCTCTCCAGGCAGGCGCTGGCGTACGTCGCGGGGTACGTGGCCGCTAAGTGCGCCACAGTGGACAGCACGCTCGGCAAGATCACGTCCGATGCCAGCGAGGTACCCCGTGACGAGCGCTACGCCTGGATTGACACCCTCAGCCGCGGCGGCCTCACGGTGCCCAGCGCGCGGTGGCTCGATGAGGTTGAGCAGCTGGAGGTGCTGTTCACCACGATGCACGGAGGAGATGTCGACCGCGGCCCCGGCGTCGTTAGGCGACTTGCCGAGGCTGCTGCGCTGAAGTTCCCGCAGCTGCATCCATACGTACTGAGGAAGTACGCTATGACTAGGACGCAGCTGCGGGTACGTGAGATCCGGCGCCTCATCGGCGACAGAGAACGTCTCCGAAAGGAGCAGCCTACCTGCAGCCGGGAGGCCAAGCGTGCGCGCCTGTACGTGCATCCTGGTGATTAGACTTCAGCGTGGCCCTGCTTTGTGTGCCGCGCCGGCTGTGGCGGAAGCCGGCGGCGGCGTGCCACAAGACTTTAGCGTGGCCTCGCTTTGTGTGCTGCGCCGCTGCGCTGGCTGTGGTTGGAGCCGGCGGCGGCGTGCCGCAAGACTTTAGCGTGGCCTCGCTTTGTGTGCTGCGCCGCTGCGCTGACTGTGGCGGGAGCCGGCGGCGGCGTGCCGCAAGACTTTAGCGTGGCCTCGCTTTGTGTGCTGCGCCGCTGCGCTGGCTGTGGTTGGAGCCGGCGGTGGCGTGCCGCAAGACTTTAGCGTGGCCCTGCTTTGTGTGCTGCGCCGCTGTGCTGGCTGTGGTTGGAGCCGGCGGCGGCGTGCCGCAAGACTTTAGCGTGGTCTCGCTTTGTGTGCTGCGCCGCTGTGCTGGCTGTGGCGGGAGCCGGCGGCGGCGTGCCGCAAGACTTAAGCGTGGCCTCGCTTTGTGTGCTGCGCCGCTGCGCTGGCTGTGGCGGGAGCCGGCGGCGGCGTGCCGCAAGACTTTAGCGTGGCCTCGCTTTGTGTGCTGCGCCCCTGCGCTGGCTGTGGCGGGAGCCGGCGGCGGCGTGCCGCAAGACTTTAGCGTGGCCTCGCTTTGTGTGCTGCGCCCCTGCGCTGGCTGTGGCGGGAGCCGGCGGCGGCGTGCCGCAAGACTTTTATGGTATTGGTGATCAATGATCATTCACATTCGTGATCGTGGTAACCTCGGTTATTTGCCGTTTGTGAGACTGTTTGGCGCGGTGAGAACTGATATTTGCAGAGCTGAGTTCGGACCGAGCATGTTGGTTCTGCGCTGTTGGTTACTACTCTGTGCTCGTGGTAAATTCACATTATCATTTATACAATTAATGACAGCTCAAGTTTCGCCTCAGTTTTGCGTGTGAGTGGTGAAGCTTGTTTCCGTTTTAAAGTCGTTAATGTGTGTTTTGTGCGCATATTTTTAACCCGGACTTCTTGAAGCATTGAGATGAATATACGAATCGCTGGGAGGGATGCAGATTTTTGGCTCCTCATCAAACTTCCGAATGGATGGTCGAGACAGATTTTTTTGGTGCATTCTCCATCAGTAGGTCAACAAGTCACGTCGATGTCAGGTTAAGTCTGAGACAAGTCACTGCATTGGGTTTAGAGACCAGCTAACGTCATTCAATATTGGAGCGTCCGAGTTCTTAAATGTATGTGGAAACCACTGAACTCTAATGGTGGAAACCGATTTCGCTGCGTGTGGTGGGAGGGTGCTAGCAGCGGCCGTGAAACGTCGCTCACGACGACGTACAGTACGCCGGGATGTCATATAATTAAAACTTTCAGAAAGCGCGTTCTCTCGGCCTTCATTTACACTGGAGATAATAGGTGGACAACCAGCACCATTTCAGAGTTATTTTATTTACAGAAGCGGTTTTGCATCAAAGTCCCTGCCGTAAGTGTTGTGTCTATGCCTGCCGCTGGATATTCGGCATCAGGGATATATAGTTGCGGATGTAAAATAAGAAGCGATGCCAAAATTAGATCAACCAGGAAAGCGACTCTGCTAAATTCAATTCTATCCATTTTCTCACAAATACGCCTATGCTTTACTACGCGGATAATATGCTATTTCTATTTACTGGTAAAGACTCAATTTATAATTTAAGCCTTTTGATAGCTACTTGATTATACATTGAATAACACATTATAATGATTATATTTTGACACAATGTAATAATATAAAGTGTCAATTTATAATAATAGAATTTGAAACATTGGTTAATTTTTAATGTGAACGATATGTACCGTACGCAACTGTTCAAAAGCAGCACACGCATCAATCAGCTGACGCCACATTCCCGGTGGCGCTGCTCACGGTGCACGCCTGACCTTTCGGTGAATTGAAAAGTTGTAGTGAAGTGTCAATGCACTCCAATTCGAATTATGTTGTGGTTTGATCGAGTGGTGTGCGCACTCTGGTTTCTGGATAATGCCTATATAATTTGTTTTATTGACTACATTCTTTTTTAACTGCAGTGCATAGGAGCTGACGAGTGACGCCTGACACCGTGGTGGTTATATCCAAGTTATATCAATATCATATCAATCACAGGACACAGTTCAATGTGGCAGTTGGCAATTGGCAATACACCCAAAGATCCCATCTTATGTGTAGCCTGCGCTGGCATGGTGCTGACTATTTCAATTTCAGTAATACACACCAATTTTCCACACCAATTTCAGTAGTACTGAACCTTCGGTCAATTCTAATTTTTCTCTCACTTGTTTTTTATGTGAGGATTAATTTTTTGGACACACAAGCTACCTTTCATTCTTTGGAGCATTCATCAATGTGACCGAGAACTGTTACTTTGACTTTGAGTTGCTGATATTTGTGAAATATTTCTGGACTGATTTGTATGTGATCTACTGACTGTGATATGCTGGCAGCCAACACAAACAGAGTCAACCATAACTGGCATGCGAGGATAAGTACCTACGGCTACCTCTGTCACTTCAAGCCAAGAGGAGCTTCCTGTCAGCTTGGACAAATGTGATGCAGCAGTAGAAAATATGCTGAGCATAGCAGATGAGCTTAAAATCATACAGCAAAGGTAACTACTAACTAGCATTATACATGGGAAAAGGCCAATGTGCTGGTTAGATTTAGCTCTCAGTGCATTTGGGGGATGAGCTCAGCTTCAGGAACAGCTTCAAGAACATGTCCCCAGAGACTGGAGACATGTTCTAGCTAAAGACATGAGTGGGGAAATGGTTGTTGACTAGCAGCAAGCTAAAGTGTAATGCTTAATTTGTGGTGGTCTGTGTGATTTGATATAGCTTTTTAACCAGGTTAAGGCTGAGGGAGACAGACAGGTGAACCAATCTAACCATTTTTATCATGTGACACCAATTTTTCCCGTCCGTTCTCTCTGACAGTACGACGGAGGAGGAGCGGCGCCGGCGCGCGCAGCAGCTGCAGCAGCGTCTACAGGAGGACGCGCTGCGGCGCAAGTTGCGCAATGTGCGCCTCATCGGCAGCGTGGAGCGGCTGGCCGAACGGGCCTCCTCGCTGCGTCAGCTCACTGACAGACTGCGGCTCATAAAGGTTGGACACGGGCCCGGTCCGCTGTGCGGGGCACGTATACCTGCTGGGTTTTGAGCCGAGGACAACTGTATTGTAAGAGGAATCGAGTGACAGATCATGAATGAATGTCTCGCTGGTCGGGGCTAATGGTAATGCGAGAGTGACTGCCGTGTTGTGCGAGACTGATGGGATGGGTGGTGGTCTTTGGTGGTTTTATAATTAAGCTGACTAATGTTTATCTTTAATCTTGTTTGTTTTGACCGATCGTCGTTCAGCTACGGGCATCACTCGCCATGTCAATGCAGTTGTTGATGCTGGTCTCTAGATTCACATAATTCCAATTTTGTGTGACGACTAACGACTTCCTCGTTTTTTGGTCGTCTCGTAGCGTCAATACGAGGTTCTAGCCACACATCTGCCTGATGATGATCCATCCAGCCAATCACACCTCGCCGAACCGGCGGCAGCGCTACGTCACAGCCAATCAGCGACCTCCGTGGGTGAAGCAGAACACCATCGTCAAACCGGTGAGCAAATGTCGGGCTAGCGTCGACTACTGGCCCGAGCGAACGATATATTTTGCTTCACTTAGACTTTATTTTTGTGATCTGCTGGTGATTTCCTTAGCTAATGAAACAAATGTAATCGAACCATAATTCATAGTGTAATCATGCGCCTCTGTCATTTGGTGGCCGCATTGTTGGCAAATGACAGTCCACATAAGCTTAGTTCAGCTATTCTGACTTTATTTCGCAGTTCGTGCTAAAACTTAAAATGCTTTTCCCGGAACTTGTCGAAAATACTTGTCTGTTCCTACTGAGTTTAGTGCACTGATGAATCATAGTGCTTGATCGCTGATTGCTTTACTTTCCAACTCACAGCTTGTACATGTTTCAGCGCTGAAGGCGGCCAGTGGAGATCCGACGGCCGACTTATCACATCTTGTGGAAGGCTATTACGACCCCCGGTAAGCCATTGCAGGTGCTTTCTTTACTGCACATTTCTATTCGGTCCAGTGTCTCATTCATATTGTTTCCAAGAACTCTCGTGGATAGTGATTGTTCATGAACTTGTCGATGCTCGTAAAAAGAAGCATGCCATAAGACGTCTTAACTGCATAATTGTAAAATGAGGAATCAACAGAGGTACTCAGAATTCAGTTACCAGAAGGCAATGCCGTTACCCGCTGTTGAAAATTGTTGGCCGTAGGTCATCCTAATGTCGCTTCATGTGTGGCATATTCCTCGTCTCACGTCCCGTTCTCCCATCAGGCTGGCGGCTCGCGGGTGGCAGGGCGCCGCCGACCCGTGGGGCCCGTCCTCGCAGCAGCTCGGCCGGGACGAGCTGGGTCGCTCCACGGAAAGCCGAGCAGCTCTTCTACGCTCGAGGATCGCCACTTCTGTCACCGTCCGCAGCGAGCCACCAGCGCCGCCTGGCGACCGCGGCGTGAACTACAGAGCTGTTGGAGGACATACCTGGGAGCGGGGGAGAGAAACGGAGTGGGACCGCGACGCGCATGGTTCCGGTCCCGGTCCCAGGGACCCGTCGGACTGGGAGCGCTCAGAGTGGGACCGGTCCGGACCGGGGGAGCGCAGCTCAGCGCCCATGCAGGACCGCTCTGTGTCTGAGTACTCGGTGTCTGCGCCGGGCCGACGTCGGGCGGCGCCGCTGGCCTGGGACGGCACCCTGGACGGCGTGGCCAGCCGCTGGGGCACGCTGGAGCGGCCGACAGCTGCCGACGAGCAGCTGCAGCAGCTGGACAGCGCGCTGGCCCGGCAGCGGCAGCTGCTGGCCGCCACCGCGGCGGCGACGGAGAGGGCAGAGACGGCAGCGGCGAAGAGCTCGGAGGTGAGTGGTCGATGGTCATGGGTGTAAGAAATAATATGAAGGCACGAATTCTGACAAACCATGCTACTTCCAAACTAAAATTGGAATGGTGTATCGGGCAAAAACGTCGTGAATCGCTTCAGTAATCGTTAACATCACCCGCCGCTCTATTTTCTGTTTATTTCCAGGATGCCCACCACGCGCCGCTACCTCGCCTTAGAACAGGCTCCTGGCTGAATCCGGAGCTCTCTACGAGTGGCCACCGACACTTGGATTCTGAAGCCGCTGCTCATACCAGGGACGGGTTCAGAGACCAGCACCACTACACTGGGGACCACGGCCCGTACGTCGGAGACCAGGGAACTCACCAGATTTCTCGGGAGACTAACGTGCGCTTTGCGGATTCCTCAGACAACGAACGTTATCATAGCAACCATCACCGTGACCATAATAACATCGGCAAAAGGCCCAGCCACGGTGATCGTTCCAGTTTCGCTGGTCGTTCGGACTACCTCGAACCGCAAGACGAAGAGCCTCGCTGCCCGGCCCATCAAGCTATGCACGAGGCAGGTCAGACGAGAAGGTATGAAGAGGACGGAGCACGGTTCGAGCGAGATCCAAGCGGCGGTGGCGAGGGGGAGCGATTGAGAGAGATAGCAGAGGATGATGAGAGAGCCGAGATGGAGGCTGAGGAGCGTGAGATTAGGAGACAGGAGTCGCTGAGAAGACGAGAAGAGGAAGAAGAGGAGAGGAGAAGGTGGGAAGAGAAGAGGCGAGCTGAGGAAGAGAGGATGAGGGAAGAGAGAAGGAAGGAGGAGGAAGAAAGAAGGCGAGAAGATGAGATGAGGAGGGCAGAAGAAGAGAGGAGGCGAGAAGAGGAAGAAAGAAGACAAGAAGAGAAGAGGAAGGAGGATCAGAGAAGGCAGGAGGAAGAACAGAGGAGACGGGAAGAAGCTGACAGGAAGCGGGAGGAGGAGGCTCGGGCGGCCGCTGAACGCTCGACTGCAGCGAGAAAGGCGTCAGTCACCTCAAACGCCAGTTCACACGGTGAGAAACGGGCACCGGGGTGGGACCGGTATCCTTTGTCATACAGCTATCAATTAGTGGTGTTTGACACTCTCTTGAGTGTATCACTGTTGCTTTTGCCATCCACAGATTCGACATGAATAGTTGAAAACGAATCCTCTCGTCAAGCTTTAGTGAACTATTTTTGGATCGAAGTGCATATTTTTTCAATTATGTAACCTCGGGCTTCGTCATGACTTCGTCATAGTTGCTAGTCTGTCTGAGTTACTGAATTGCGTATTATTTTCATGTGGATGCATTTGAAGTCAGCATAATGTGCTCTAAGATCCATTTATAACCGCATGAAAGAATCGCACAATAGTGTTGATCTTTAGCCAAAAATGCTAATGTCGTGTATTTGTTGCCAGGTATGACCTGGAACGGACGGTCCGCTGCGGCGGATGCATCACGTACACAGAGTGGAGCCAATAACGGCAAACAGGTAAGTCCTGGCCTTGCAGGACTGGATGTGGATCCAGGTAGCCATCCAGTCACATGGGTGAAGGGGCGGGGTTGCCGATGCTTTGAGCTCAGCGCGTATTGAGGGTGAGGATGGCACGGGGCTGGAGAATGGAGGTGTCTCGTGTGTGACGGGTAATGGGTGCTCACTCTCATGAGGAACATTTGATGATACTGTGTGTGCCCCACTTCTTCCTCTTTTGCTGCCATGCATATGCACGACTGTACGATTTTATGTTGAATAACTAAGGGCTGTCTCACCTTATTTACAGAATGCGAAGAAAAAGAAGAACATGGATTGGCTGTTGGGCGGCGGTCACTCGTCTGGGGAGTCGGACGGTGAACGGCCAGAGGGCGGCAGAGGCAAACCGACAGGGGACGCTGCCACTGGCACGAAATATTCCGGTAAGCTGGCGAAACAGAGTGATGGGAACTTTTGCCTCTATTGTAAGAATGTAAACTCAAATCGTGTATTCTCTTTCATTCGTGAAATCAGTCTTGACCATCTTCATAATAAGCCCCCAGCCTCCAATGCTCAATCGTCGAATTGACAACATAGTTATATAAAACATAGTGCGGGGGGATGTTCATCATCGCATTGACAATGGTTCTGACAGCACACCACCTCCTCTACAGGAGCACCCTCGACGGCAGACCGGCCGGCCGCCGCCAGTCGCCAGAGCTCTCACGGAAGCACCGCTGCCGCCCCGGTCCCAGCCGTCAGACGGGCGGTCGACACTTCATCGAGTGACGATGCCGTTCCCGCCCGTACCCCTGCCACCGCTGCCGCCGCTGCCCCCGCTAAACTCGCTCCTGCCGCCGCGGAGAAGCCCATGAAGATACGTCTCGACTCGGGATCCGATTCGTACCACCTCAGCGCAGATCTGGGAGGCGATGAAAGTGATGACGATTTCTGGGGCTGATGGACGTCATCGAGATGTCATTGGGAAGGTGAGAGCGGAAACGGGGTTGGTTGGTGAGGACTTGTGAAGTGATACTGTGCTGGTTTACGCAGAAGTCCCGTGCATGATATCATGCAAGCAAAAAGGCAGATAAAGCTTAAATCAGGCAATTTGATTGTGAAAAGAAAGCTTTGATCGGAACCTAATGTTTATCGCAAACATATTCAGAGGGATCTGGCCTCTGGATCAATCGTTATTATTAAAAATGACGGAGTAAGTTCAAGTCCAGGGTTGTCATGAAATTTTGGGGGTACCATTCGACTACCGTGGTGGCACAGGCTTCGGATGGAACTACAAATGAAGAACCCAATTCAGTACTAATGTGTCTCCCTTTCCATGTCTGTTGAAAGTCACTGGGATGTGTGCCTACTGCCTGTGCACGCCGGTATCGTGTAGTATCCACACTCCCCCCCCCCCCTTCCTTTCCACATACACCCTCTCATAATGTATCCCTCGTGATAAACTCGCCTACTCTCGCGTTTCTTAAGCCAGATTTACCAACAGAAAAATAGCCCCCTGCCGGAATTTTTTGCTAAAGACCGCTTCACATACGGAGCGTGAACGCGATAGGCACGTAAGCGGATAAGGCTTTACCGTTTACGCTCCGTATTTGAAGCGGTCTAAGCAAAAAAAAAAATAATAATAATAATAATCCGGCAGGCGGCTATTTTTCTGTTGGCAAAACTGGCCTCAGATCTGTGACTACGGAGTCCGTCCACATTGCTCAGTCTTGTGCTGCGAGTCATATGTGCAGTGTGCATTGTCAACCAGCCAGTGATTCGTCGTGGCTGTCATGATTTCCGATCTCACTGGTGGCTTATGTATTTTGTGTTACGTTCTGTTTGTCCTATTGCCACTTTGATGGTGGCCCCCGTTTTACAAGCCAAAGAGCATTCCAAATAGTGCGATTACAGATTTGCAATTGACAGGGTTGATGAATACCGATCCGTCTTCGGTGTTATTTATTTTTATTTATTTCATTTCATTGTTAATCGTGAGCGCATTGTCCGGCACATGGATTATGACATTGACTCAAACTTGCAAAGCACGACCAATAAGATCAATAAACTATTGATTCACACACTGTATATTTGTGGTATGAATTCGCAAGTTTCTTTATTTTTAGTACTAAGCTATCATAATTTGCACATTGCAATGACGGAAGACACTATTATCCGTTCAAATTGTTTCTCTGTGGTTCAGAACGGTTTTGCAGGTCTACAAAGCTGATACCTACATTAGTTCTGTCAACATGCGAATGTCCTGCCTCACCCCACTACCTTTCCCGATAGAAAAAGCTTCAATGTTTGCGAGCTCGGCTGATCGACGCTCTAGCTTTTTTATCGTGACGCGTCAGCTTCATAAACCGCGTTTGACAACGCAATTCGACAGCACATAAGTCAACTGGCACGATACATAACACTGTTGACTAATGAAGAAACGAACTAAAAATCTCAACCAGATGATTAAATGAAATAGAGATAACCATCACAATTTGCACTCGCTATTGAATTCTGCAGTATAAAATTGCACCGTATAATGTGACTCTGTCAGAAGTGTGGCTGTGGCCATTTATCTTGTCTCTGCGATGAGTAAGTTGTCCATCCTTTGATGAGGTAATGTGTTGTCGGCATTGTCCGCTCAAAGCCTGGGATCTGACAGCGCATATGTCACCGAGCTCGTTACTAAAGCCCGGCGGACGGTACAAAAATCGTCAGCTCGGCAATACCTGTACGAACTGCTGATAGGTATCGCAATTTGCACCTGCCACCACGGCTCCCGAATTGAGACGTCATGCAGCCGACTGCAGTATCTCTGAGCCTCCTGAGGACTGGCGTAGTGACCGCGGCACGGACTCTTGGCCTATCTCAGGGTGATTTCACGACAATGCAGCTGTCGCTGCCGTTGAGGGGTGTTGCACTCGACGACTTTGAGGACGTCCGTGTGGTGTGGGGATGCCGGGTGAACTCGGTAACCGTCGGCATTGGCCTGTCCGGGCGAGTATAAGTCGACGTTTGAGACAGACGCCGTCGTGTCGGCTCCTCGCTCTTTCGACTGCGTTTACGCACTCTGATGCGATCGCGATCATTTGAACATTATTTTCGATCATATTTTGCTCCCCGTAGGACTGTGCGTACGCTGTGATTAATATAATATCGTCCACATGTTTGATGACTAGCTGATGATTGTAGGACGTGGGTGGAAATGTAACTTTATCCGTTACTTCTCAAAAGTTCTCATATGTTTCGCTAAAACAGGTGCAGCAAATCTGGTCGACTGAAACTGACTGCGACCCCTCTGTCGCCTGCCTCGGCCCGTTCACCCGACCCTGAGTTGTCAGGCTCGGGTGCCAGTCCCGTAAACGACTCCATCTATTAGCTGTCACAATCCGGAAAACTTCCGGACAACTTGTTCTGGAGGGCGTAAAAAGTGCGTCGTCTGACACTAACAAATGGGACAGCATGCATCACTGAGACTCCAGCCCGGGCGAGTGGGAACAACCGAACCCAGTCAAGTCAAGTCGAGCACAGAGTTGAGCTTTAGCTCAACAAGTATGCTCTCGAGAGCGAGAAGGTATAGCCCTCGAATGGTACGAGTGCCTACAACGATAGCATTACTCTTGTTCGAAGAAGTGCTCTATATTGCGTTGGTTGCCAGCATGAATGTGGATGGCATGGCAGTTTCTCTGAATGAGTTCTGTAGTGCATTGATATTACAAAGATTTGTGGGTGGTTATGGAGCCGAAAGATCAGATGGAATAGCGATAGCGATCGTCTACATAAGTGTCCAGTCGATATGCCTGAAGGGCATTAGTCTTGTAACTGGTAAATCCCTTTCAAAGTGTCATTTATGAGCCTCTCGTCCACGCGAGCCTCTATGCATCATATAGCATTTTTGCGGTGCCCCAAACAGTCGTATACCCACCTAAAGCGTTCACACTGGGGGGAGCTGATACTAATCTAATGCCATCAATCGTATCACCTGGAATGCATGACAGATGCCGAAACGGGAGCTACTGCAACACCTGGATTGAAAAATAACGACCAAAAAAGATGTGACAGGGAGGGCTTCCTTGTTGTGCACCCGTTTCGGCGTCAAAGTCCGTGTTTGTGGACATCTGTCCGCGATGGCTCTGCAGTAGCAGCTGGCTCATCACCGGCAGTTAATGACGTACCAACTACTGGATCCGTCGCCACCACGGGCCGACACCTGGTCAGTGACCATTGTTAGATCGTGACGGCAGGCCGTGGGCCGAGTGTGGACTGAGTGTGGACGAACTTCTGCTACATACTGAGGAAACAGTCCAATAACTTTTGCCGATTTTGTATTCATTCACTTACACAACTGGTGCTGCTTATTCGGCGTCGTCACTTTTTGTGCCATTACACGACCGACGCAGTTGGCGTACTTGTTGGCAGTTTTCTTATGAAGTGGCACAGCCCGCAGCCGTCTCGTCACACCAGAGTGACATACTCGTACAGCTATCTCTCTCTCTCTCTCTCTCTCTCTCTCTCTCTCTCTCTCTCTCTCTCTCTCTCTCTCTCTCTCTCTCTCTCTCTCTCTCTCTCTCTCTCTCTCTCTCTCTCTCTCTCTCTCTCTCTCTCTCTCTCTCTCTCTCTCTCTCTCCTCTCTCTCTCTCTCTCTCTCTCTCTCTCTCTCTCTCTCTCTCTCTCTCTCTCTCTCTCTCTCTCTCTCTCTCTCTCTCTCTCTCTCTCTCTCTCTCTCTCTCTCTCTCTCTCTCTCCTCTCTCTCTCTCTCTCTCTCTCTCTCTCTCTCTCTCTCTCTCTCTCTCTCTCTCTCTCTCTCTCTCTCTCTCTCTCTCTCTCTCTCTCTCTCTCTCTCTCTCTCTCTCTCTCTCTCTCTCTCTCTCTCTCTCTCTCTCTCTCTCTCTCCTCTCTCTCTCTCTCTCTCTCTCTCTCTCTCTCTCTCTCTCTCTCTCTCTCTCTCTCTCTCTCTCTCTCTCTCTCTCTCTCTCTCTCTCTCTCTCTCTCTCTCTCTCTCTCTCTCTCTCTCTCTCTCTCTCTCTCTCTCTCTCTCTCTCTCTCTCTCTCTCTCTCTCTCTCTCTCTCTCTCTCTCTCTCTCTCTCTCTCTCTCTCTCTCTCTCTCTCTCTCTCTCTCTCTCTCTCTCTCTACATCTCTCCCCTCTCTCTCTCACACACTCTATTCCTCTACCTCTGCTCTGATTAATTAGATGGAGATAAATATCCAGCACTGGGAGGCGGCGCTCCAATAAATCAGCGTGGTCTGGCGGCCGCTAGTGCCGACAAAGGGCCGTCGGTGCGGTGCGCTCACCTCACATTAGAGGCCAGCCGCCCGCTGCCCAGCGCACGAGACGCACGGCACGAGGGCCGAGCCGACCCGACCCACCAGCTGGCCTGGTCGTCGGGACGTAATCGCAGGGCACAAGTCGAATCACGGATTTAGCTGTTTGAACTGGTGGTGGCAGGCTGACTAGTTAAACTTCTCGGATCTTTTGTCAAAAAGGTGAAAGAGAGGGGCTCAACTATCAAGGTTCCTCGGTTATCTCAACAGCACTGCCATAGTTTTTCGACTCTCCTCTTCCTCCAATACATTCCTCCACTATCCCCTCTACCTTTCTCCTCTCTCTCTCTCTCTCTCTCTCTCTCTCTCTCTCTCTCTCTCTCTCTCTCTCTCTCTCTCTCTCTCTCTCTCTCTCTCTCTCTCTCTCTCTCTCTCTCTCTCTCTCTCTCTCTCTCTCTCTCTCTCTCTCTCTCTCTCTCTCTCTCTCTCTCTCTCTCTCTCTCCCCCGCCGCGTTCCACCTCGTTACCGTCTGGCAGGCCGTCCGGCACCCCGCGATTGATTCTTGTTTTCCGCTCATTGGTGCTCGCCGCTTCCTTGTTTTGGAGTCGCTGCAAGCGCGCGCCCCACACCTCGTTGGCTCTCTCCGGCAGCTAATTGTCGCCTGTTGTAGCTGGGAGAGCCGGGCGGCCGGGCGAGGGCGAGCTGAGTAAATCTCCCGGTCGACCGCCCGTCGACCCATCCCATTGTTTTCACACCCCGTCGACATAAAAACGGCGCTTAACATGCCGGCTGGCGTGCTTTATTGCGCGTCCGATAGACATTCAATTTGGCCGCCTCGGAGACCAATTGACGCTGCTCGGTGCGTGCCCGGGCCGGGGTGCAGTTATCGGAAGAGGAGTGGGGTGGGCTGGTAGATCGGGCGTGACCTCATCTGGCCTGCAGCCGGGTACCCGCCGAGCTATGCATGGCGGTGCGTTTTTTACCGGTGTGCTGGTGTGAATGGACGGCGGGACGGGCGGTATCTCGATCGAATCGGAGCGCGGGGTAAGGCGCTCGGTGTGTGCGCGATTGGAGCCAGCGGGGCTAGCAGGTGGGGTGCTCAGTGCTGTGTTGTTATATGATATTTTACAGCCCAAACAGGTAGTCTCTATAGGTACCCAGCAAGATATAGTCCCGTGTCCCAGGCCCGGTAAACTCTTCTGGTTTGATTGTTTCTTATCCCATTCCAGGAACAGTCCCATATTCTCCGAGTTCTCGATGACGGGGATAGTCCCCGTCTCCAGGTCGTCCTCAAGTCCTGGATAAGGGTGAGGTTGGTGCATAGGCGTCGCCAGAGATTGTCGGTTGGGGGGGCAAAATCAACTTTTGTGTCAAAACTTGCCTTTCCCCAGTCTTTACTCACTCGTTTTACATATCATTCGACGCGCAATGGTGCGAGGAATCCGATGGTGACAAAGGTTTCCTTCTAGCTATGACATGTAATTTTTTACAGAAAAATTCGAAATTTTGAAATTTCATAACAAAACGACTGGTAGAATTATAGTGGCTGCGATTGCCGACGCACTGCAGAGGGCCCCTGTGCAGACGCTCGACGCTCATGATCATTACCCATTAAGAGGTGAAAAACGCTCCATTTAATCGGATCACCCTGCTAGAACCTCCATTCACGCATGCATGCAGAGGTTTTACGTGAAATGCATAGGACTTATCCCAGCCGCCGATCGTAGCTAAGTTGGGCATTCGGCGGAGAGTGAATGTCGGAAGTGTGAATCGGAATTCGGAAGTAATTCATCTTTGCTTCAGTGAGATGAAGTGT